AATGTGCTTACAACAGTCTCGGGCATGCAATAATAAGCTCAAGAAAGAGAAATAGCTCAAAAAATGTTTGCCATCATATTTTTGATACATATTTATGTTTTTTCCAATTTTTCCCCACTATATTACATCTTGTTCCATTTTATTGATATAACATTGTATAGGACAATTCACCCGAGCTCTTAACTGCTGTGTCACCCGTGCTCCAAATAACTTCATAGCTTACTAGAATTCAATATTTATTTTTTATTTCTTTTTTTTAGGTAAAATTTACATTCAGCGAAGTACATATATATACTTAAGTGTATCATTTGATGATTTTTGTGGAATATTGTAACCCAAATCCCCACCAAGACATAGAACTTTTCCATCATTCCAGGAAGTTTTCTCGTGTTTCTTCCCAGTCAGTATCTGCTGTACCCTCTAGAGGCAATTACTATTCTGTTTTTGTTTGCTTTGTTTTTGCCATAAATTAGTTTGCATGAAATGTTTAGAACTTTCTAATGAAATTAAACAGAATGCACTCTTTTGTGAAAGAGATTCATCAGTGTAGCATTAATCAATAGTCTATTCCTTTTTATGGCTGAGTAGTATTCTGTTGTATGTATACACTAGAGTGGGTTTATATATTCTCTTCTGGATGGGCACCTGATCTGTTTCCAGCTTTTGGCTATTATGATAAAGCTTCTGTGAACATTCTTGTGCAAGTCTTTTTTTGGACATCTGCTTTCATTTCTCTTGAGTAAATAACCAGGAGTTACTGTATTTTTATGTGAATAACATGTGACTGAACATTTGTTTGCCCACCTCTTCCTCCACTGGTGAGGTATTTTCACAAGTGCTGCTATGCCAAATTTTTTTACATGCTGCAGTAAAAAAAAAAAAAAAAAATAGCATAGAGCCCTAACAAAAGTACCTCCTTGGAGGGAGTTAGTGGTTGGCAAAAAAACGGAGAAGCCACAGGATATTTGCATAACAATAGGGTAAATTGCTGGGACAAAGGTTAGGTGTGTATGTTTAGTTTTATAGGAAACTATTAGATACTTTTACAAAGTTAATAGTAAAATTTCACATTCCCGACAATGTATGAGATTTTCAGTTGCTTCACATCCTCACCGATATTTGATATTTTCAGTCTTTTTAATTTCAGTCATTCTCTATGTGTGTGTGTGCGTGTGTGTGTGTGTGTTTTTCCAAATAAATGCACTTATTAAAAATTCTGGTTTGTACTAGAGGTTATTATTATTTCCTTCTCTTTATTTTTTAATTTTGGAAAAATAAGACTTTTTTTAGCAATAAATTAGGCAGTTGTGTTATAAAGTTTACAAATAAACTTAGCTAAGAAAAAAACTTGTCAATGTTATACAAATGACTATAGTACTTTAGCTTGGGATAAAATTTACAGGAAGTTGATTACTCAAAGGTGCACAATGTACTATATATTTAGCCAATTAGAAGTAAAGGTAACGTCTTCTGAGAACTGTGTTAGATGACTGAAGAAATGATCTGAGTGGTTTGAAGAAACTAAAGACAAAGATTCATGTAAGATGTTTGAGTAAAATATTTGTTACATTTTGGTATGAGAATAAAACAACATTTCCAAGTTAACATCACTTTATACAATATGTGATTTTAAGGATTAATATTAACTACATTAAATATTATAATGAAATAGTCTTTTTCATTGGCATCTCTAAAAGTTTATTAACTCAGTTTGTCCAAGAACTTTTTAAATGATCTTCTTATTTTTAAATTTGGTTAAGTATATTAATTTCAAAATTTACAATATATTTAAACTCTTTAATAGTAACTCCAGTAACATAAAATTTTATTACATTTACTGAATAATTGAAAAAAAAAGTAAAATTTTTAATGCATGAAAATAAGTTGACTTAGCCTGGCAGTTTTTGAGCTGGAAATTGAGCCTATAAAGGCATGACTTTCCCAAGTTTATACAACGAATGGCAACACTGTGATTAAATCTAGGCCTTCTGCCTCTTAGACTAGCACTTGATGAATTTATAGTATCTTAATTTGAAAAGAAAGAATAACTGATATATATAGTAAAACATTTAATATGATATTTACCAAACATTAATAAAAATACTCCCTTTTAAAATACAGTCTCATCTTTTCCTTTACAAATACAGCATTACCTTTATGTTTAATAGAGTTAGCAGCTCCCAGAATAGCTTAATTTGAGAGTATAATTTGAGAGATGATGAGATATTTTGCATCAAAAATATTTTTTCCATAGATCTTAAATTCTTCAAATTAGTTTAACTCTTAAAGGTCCTGTTAATGTTATAGATATCTTTATTATGTAAATGTGAAAATTAATGCATTGTAAGCAAAGATTGTTTAGTGAAATTCACTGTCACTAGGCAGAGGACTGAAGGAAAAGGAAGGTTTTCTTGAGAGAAGTAAAGGTCATTTTCTTGGAGGATGATACTTACAGTTAGTGACTCCCAGTTTTACACTTATGTTCTAATTATGGCATGTACATTAGGTACTGATGTTTAAATGAACTATAAGGGCAGAGTTATTGTTTTATGCAATTGTTTTAACATGTGATAATAGCTGTCAATCCTAAAGTAGGTATCTGTATATGATAACTAGATATTTCTTTGATCATTTCTAGCTTATTTAAACATAGCTTTTCAAGCCAAACAGTATTACATTTGAGTGTTAAATTTCTGAACATTATTTCATCTATAAGCACTTTCCTTAAAAATGCCATTCTTTAAATATAGTTATTGAAATTGATATTCTACATAGAGATAATACTCTTTCTGTGATGATGTGACTGCATGATGGTAAGGGATGGACCAGTTATGCTGAGTTAAGTGAAATACCAACAATACTCATGCAGACATTGTGCTTAGCTGCAACCGAAAAATAAGGATAGTAATTTAAACCAATTTTGCATTTTATTATGTTATATAATGAGAAATCATGACAAAGTTGATTTGATAGAGTGGGGCTTCTGAAATTCTCCCGCCTTTTCCTTTTAGTTGCAAAATGCCTGTCCCAGCCGCAACATCATATTCCTGTTCTAAACTCCAAAACCAAACCCATTGCCATCAAGTCGATTCTGACTCATAGTGCCCCTATAGGACAGAAAAGAACTGCGCCGTAGAATTTCCAAGGAGCGGCTGGAGAATTCAAACTGCCAATCTTTTGGTTAGCAGCTGAGCTCTGTTCTAGACAGCAAGGAAGACAGAAGAAGAGGTGATGTGTATTTTAGGAAAGCAAAAATTCTCCTAGTGTTCTATTAATTGGAACTGTGTCACATGGTCATACATACAAAAATATCTGGTGAACATAATTCTTAAACTGGCACGTGCAGCTCATAATAAAATTGTGATTTTGTTTGTAAAGAAAAAGGAGAGAATTAATTCTGAGTAGGAGCCCTGGTGGCGTAGTGGTTAAGAGCTCAGCTGTTAACCAAAAGGTCGGCAGTTCGAATCCACCAGCCCTCCTTGGAAAACCTAGGGGGCAGTTCTACTCAGTCCTATAAGGTCACTATGAGTCAACTCGATGGCAACAGGTTTGGTTCTGTTTTTCTAGGTAGGCAATTAGCAGCCCCTGCAATAAAAATTATTTCACCCAACGCATATTTTTTTACAATTTTTATTCTATGCTAAGAAGGCTCAGTTAACATTATACAAAAACAGAAAATAAATGTATATGTTGTGATGCACGTTTTTCTCAGCCTCTTTTTTCCTCTATGTAGTTGGTTGAAACACTGTTAGTAGTCTTACAAAATTTTATTATCTTTTATCTTTGCAGTGTGCTAATTACCATGTAGTGCTCATAGCTCATTTGATAGCTATTAAAGAGCAATGTCTGCAGTGTCCTATTCATATAGTCTAGATCACAATAAGAAGTGATATCGTGCTACCTGGAAAGGGATCTCTTTTAAGTTCAGGCATAACTCTTACTTTAAAGCAGACTTTAAAAATCACTCTCTTGTAGTCACAGCATATGAGTAGTGATCAAGAGAGCCCTGCTAATAAGCACTCAATTTAGGGGGGGAAAAAAAAAGTCAGAGAAGGCAAGCTGTTGGCCTCATTTAGAGAATAGAAGGAAACACAGTTGTCCCTGAAAGTCAATTTATAACATTCTACTTACAGTAAGTTAGTAAGTGTAAGGGAAGACCTCCTCACAGCAACTGAATGGTTTGCTCCAGTCCAGTAAGGTGATGCAAACAATTGAGAAATGGAGAGAGACACCACCCAGTTCCCTTGCCCTGCTTCTTCAAAGGAACAGGAAGAGCTGGAATTGATTTACATTGTCCAAACTGCTCACAAATGAATATATGTGCCAGACCTATGGGCACACAGTTGAACTTTAGGAATTGGGATTGGTTGACAGTTGTTGGAGAGCTACAAGGTGGAGTAGGAGAAGTTACTGGAAACAGCTCTTATTTCTAGTACTGTCAGTCTTCTTCTCCCCTCACCTTCTTCAAACTGTCTCCTTTATTAAGTTCTATGGGTGATTATCATCATATCCAGAGGAAAGATAAATTAACAGTAGGTATATATCGCTATGAGTCTGAATTGACTTGATGGCAATTTTTTTTTTTTAATGTCATTACTTATATTAAATAGATAAAATGACATTTTTGGGGGAGGAAGTTAAACTTTAAAAAGAGTTCAAGGGCTTTTCTGGTCTTATTTTTTTTATAATACCTTAAACCTATTAATCACAATATCTTACCACGGGTATTTCCTAGAACCTAACAGTTGCATGAGAGGATGGGTTACTATATATAATTGTATGAAAAGAGTACTCCATGTGTAGACATGCCTTTGTTATTCTTATTATTTGAGTACATTATTTGTAAATGCCTAAGTGCTAAATTAAGGTCATAGTCATTGTATAAAGTAAAAGGAATCTGGTAAAAGTAAAGCAAGTGTAATATGAGTGTTGACTAGTCATATCTATATCAAACAGCCTAGGAAATAAAGTCTGAAGTGTATTTTTTGGTTGTGTTTCAGTGGTGGGAAATGAAGGATTTTATGTGATACTGAAAGGCCTAGCTCGACCTCAAACAAAGGTGTATAAACATCTGATCAGAGGAAGAGAAGCAAGAAGTTCTTTAAAACCTCAAAGTTTCCACAACTTGTTTTACAATGAAGACTTCAGAAGCTCTGCACTTCCTGAGATATACCTAGGTTCACGTGATTCAATGGTAAGAAATGAATATTTGTTTTCCCATAAGAAGCAAGGTGCCATTCATGTAAAATTTTATTGCTTCCAAATATTTAAATACAAATATCTTCAGTGAGTACTGAAATATAGCAAGATTATATGTACATAAATATATATATTTAAATATAAATTCTGCTGTTAACATTGAACTTGAAATTTGTCTCAAAAATTTTTATGAGAGATGCCTTTAACAGCATACTGTCCCCTGGAAGGGGCTATGTGGTATATCTGATAACTGAGATGAGGTCATGTGACTGGATTAGTGAGAAGAGTGGATGGCAGTCTGAGATGCTGGAGAGAGAACAGGTCATTTGAGAAGGGAGATACACAGAACAGATCAAGAAGTGTCTTTTAAGTTAAATTAAGAATATGTGTGTTCAATAAAAGACCGGACTTGTTGTGCTAACAGAGACTGGAGAAACCCTGAGAGTATGGTCCCTGGATACTCTTCTAGCTAAATAATGAAGTCACTCCCGGGGTTCACCCTTCAGCCAAAGATTAGACAGGTCCATAAAACAAAAGGAGACTAATGGGGCACAACAGCCCAGGGAAAGGACTAGAAGGCAGGAGGCGACAGGAAAGCTGGTAATAGGGAACCCAAGGTCAAGAAGGGAGAGTGTTGACATGTTGTGGGGTTGTTAACCAATGTCATAAAACAATATGTGTACTAACTGTTTAATGAGAAATTATTTGTTCTGTAAACCTTAATCTAAAGCACAATAAAAAAAAAATTCAAAAACAAAGAATATGTGTATTATGATTGAAATGTGTCCCCCAAAAAGATATGTTGAAGTCTTAATCCCTGTATCTATGAATAAAACCTTGTTTAGGGAAATAGAGTCTTTCTCTGAAGATGTTATCATCAGCTAAATTATCGAGTCATACTGTAGTAATGTTGGTCCTAATCCCTTCTGAGTGATGTCTTATACAAGGAGAGAATAGACATGGAGACAGAGTCACACAGGAGGAAGATTCTATGTGATGATACATATACAAGTAGGAAAGGAATTCCAAGGATTGCCAGCAGCCACTAGAAGCTAGGAGAGAGCGATAACAATTCTTTTCTCAGAACTCTCAGAAGGAATCAACAGGGCTGATACCTTGATTAAGAATTCTAGCCTCCAGAACTGTGAGACAATACATTTCTGTCCTTTAAACCCACCCACTGTGTGTGTGTGTGTGTGTGTTTCTTTTTTTAACGGTAACCCTAGGAAACTAAGACTGTGTATCTCAAGAGCAATGTAAAGTAATAAAGGGGTTGATCACATTATTATAACCAGAAAAATCTTATTTGAAGATAATCTTTTGCCTGTAAATTATATTTCAAGACTATCGAATGGTCAAAAAATAGTAGTTCAATGTCTTTCCGGGTCTCTGGATACGCCACAGGGGCATCAGCTCTGGTTTAAGTAGAGATATGGCTAAAATTCAGTCCTAGATTTATGATGGCCAAGACGTCCAGAGTAGAAAAGAGCCGAAGGAGTTAATTCAGGCCAAATTACTTATCATTATGGGTTGAAGTCAGGAAAACAGAATCAATATGAATTTCAAGAAGAAGGAACATGAATAAAACCAAGAAAGAAAGACTGTGTTAGATAAGGGTAAATCAAGGATTGAAGAGGAACAGGTTGGGAGAAATCTACTTCAATCAACTACAACAAAACAATGTTATAGTATCTTGCATTTTGAAAGCCTTAAAGAAAAATAGAAAGAGGCAAGTTCAGTGAAAAATAAGTCTACCTTAAGTATTTAGATGTGTTTGTATTAAGACTTTAAGGCCCTTTCCAATTCAACACAGGATTTCCATATTCTGCTGCTAGGGAAGACGGGAGGAGATGAATATCCAGAAAGGGAGAAGGAGTCCTGATAAGATTTACAGAAGGTAGGAGCTTCTGGTGGGAAGGAAAGGAGAGGAGGCAGCTTGTGGAAGACAAAAGATTCAAGGCACAGTCTGATCTGGTCTAGAGTGTGTCAGAGGGCCAGCTGGTGCGCAGTACAGGCAGAGAGACAGGAAGAAGGAAACAAGGGGAGAGGGTGACCATTATTTCATTCAATAAGTAAGTGGGCTGGTGAAGGATATGGTAAAACTAACTATATTATCATTATTATATCATGCAATGTAATTATTTGTTAGCAGTTTTTACCACATTTGACTGAAATATGATGGTTGAGAGTACTTCTACTCCATTTAAGAATGGCAGTTCTTAACCTAGGAGCCATGACATTATTAAGGAGCCATGCTTAAGAAGAAATGTGAACAACCTAAAATCAAATGCAAATATCTGTGCACATGCACTGTTCTTTCAGGAGAGGGTCCCTAAAAGGGATTGATTTCAAAGCATGCATCATCTCCAGATATTAAAAATTTCTTAAGAAAGTTTGTGACTGGTAGCGGTCAAGGTATTTCTTTCACTGTTAATGTTGCTTATTTTGTATTCCACGCAGGCAAACTTGATAGATGTGTACATTTTATAGAAGTGAGCATGAGAGAATAAAATAAGACATTATTTTTTGAGGAGATTAAATTATTTTTATAAACAATTACTTTTGTATGTGATGCTTTATAATAAGATTTATAGTATAATATATATTTCCATTCACATATATTTTAATTTAAACTCTTTCACCTAGTTAAGTAGATGTTCTGACAATTTAAGTATTAATTCTCAGAACTTTGGCTAAAATTTTCATCTTATCTACTGTACTTCTGATCTTTTTGAGGACACTTTCTAACAAATCTCTTGGATATATTCTCCCTTTTAACCAATAGCTCTTTCAGACAGCTATGCCTTATAAAGTATAGATTACATTTTATTTTGGATGAACAACTTCCTTCTTCTTCCACAGTAAACTCTAACCTGAGAACTTATGTAAACAAACAAACAACAACAACAAAAACTCAGAAAAACACAAAGAAAGAAAAACAAATGCTTTCTCTCACTAATAAAGAATGGAAAATCTGGCTTCTTCCATATTACATGAATGGACTATTTTCCTTGAAAACTATATAGGTGTTTCCAGAGACAATTTATTTTTATCTTAACTGTCTAGATTTCTTCTTACACAAGAGCCAGCATTAGGGCTTTGCTTTAAAGTAAAATACCTTGAAGAATTATTTGATATTAATCAAACATGGTGATTTGTTACCTAATTCAGAATTCAAAAAATTATTAAATATCAGTTAAAGGATAATGAAAATAGAGATGTAATTTTTTTCCATTCAAGTTTATGGACTCTCCGTCTGATTATTTGTGAATATCATAGCTCAATCAATGCAAATAACAAGTTCTTAAACTGTGCACCATTTTAAAAGATACATAAATATCTTTTACCATATTTAATGTTAATTTTAAGAATATCAGCATTCTTTCACACAATAGTATGTTGTAGGAGGAGTTCCATGGGCAATAGGCTCTGAGAGATTTGTACACAGGTGATTTATTTGGAAGTGCTGTCAGGTACAACACCTTGTAAGGGAGTGAAGGAAGCAGAGTTGAGTAGAAGTTGATCTGTGACGCAGTTACAATAGAGGACTCAGCTGATCCCATGGAGAGCTGGGATAGCTGTCAGAGTTTGAGTAAGGAGAGTAAGGTCTTTGTGCCACTGTATTGACAAGTCACTGGATATAGGCCACTCCTGGAGAGAGGCAGCCCCCTTCAGCTGAGGGCAATTCCGGGAAAGTGACTTAGATGTGACCTGTTAAGGCCAATGCCCCTGGAACTGGGAAAATGAGTGGCTGGGTTCAGAAGAGGGAAACTGGGCAGTGCACCACAGTATCCACTACAGTCTACCCCCTGCATCACTCAGATGCATTTGCTTTATGTTATATAGTCACCACATCTGGAAACAATTCTTCCAGGATGCCGAGAAAATATATGAGAAAAAAAGTTAGTGGGACAAACTGTATGTCTCACTGTTGTAGCTAGTTTTAGGAATACACAGATATCATAATCCCCTCCTTTAGTATCTGTCTTAGTCATCTAGTGCTGCTAGAACAGAAATACCACAAGTGGATGGCTTTAACAAAGAGAAATTTATTTTCTCACAGTCTAGTAGGCTAGAAGCCCAAATTCAGGGGGTCAGCTCCAGGGGAAGGCTTTTTCTGTCGGCTCTGGAGGAAGGTGCTTCTCATCAGTCTTCCCCTGGACTAGGCGCTTCTCCAAGCAGAAACTCCAGGTCCAAAGGACACGCTCTGCTCCTGCTGCTGCTTTCTTGGTGGTATGAGGTCCCCTGTCTCTCCGCTCACTTCTTTCTTTTATATCCCAAAGAAACTGGTTCAAGACAAAATCCAATCCCGTAGATTGACTTCTGCCTCATCAATACAACTTCCGTGCCCCCCCCCCCTTAATATCATACAGGCAGAATTTACAACACATAGGAAAATCACATCAGATGACAAAATGGTGGACAATCACACAATACCAGGAATCACAGCCCAGCCAAATTGATACGCACATTTGGGGGACACAATTCAATTCATGACAGTACCCACTCTAGACACTCCTCACTCTCAGCTAGCACCTCTATTTATTTAAATGGAATATCTGATGGGTCAACCGAGACTCTTATCCTTGAGAGATTTGAGGTCCTGGTTGTCATGGACTTCTTACGATGTGGCTGCTACACTTCTCTATTTGCCATCAAAGCTAGGCAGTGGAATATTATCTCTTCTATTAAGATGCTATGGATTGAATTGTGTCCCCCAAATATGTGTGTCAACTTGCCTGGGCTGTGATTTACAGGACTGTGTGGTTGTCCTCCATTTGGTGATCTGATGTAATTATCCTATGTGCTGTAAATCCTAACCTCCATGATGTTAATGAAGCAGGATTAGAGGCAGTTGTATTAATGAGGCAGGACTCAATCTACAGAACTAGGTTGTGTCTTGAGTCAACCTCTTCTGAGTTATAAAAGAGAGAATCAAGCAGAGAGGAGAGGGAACTCTTACCAACAAGAATGAAGAGCCAGGAGAAGAACATG